AATTCCGAACTACGAACGATCCATGACGATCCTTCGCGATGCAGTGGTCTCATGAAATAAGGAAACGTAGGCCTATTCGTGCTAGGAACACATGCGGATTTCGGACGAATAAATCTTGCTGGTATTTTGTATATAATAATACTTTGTTTCATAATAAACAATTTGTCAAGTGTCATTTATTTACTGGTAATAGTGCATGTTTTAGTCGGGCAAATCTTGATTAATATTTGATACGCCGTTTTTTGCATATTTCAGACACATCCAGAAATATGCTCCCGATTTTAAACATTAATATCTCCGTGAATTTTTAAGTGAAATACAACTGTAATATATCAAAATCTAAGTTAGTCATTCCTCTATTTGATGCAAGTTATTTCTCTTTAAAAGCTTTACTTGGTTAGAAGTTATTACGAATCAAACCGGAGTACTTTTTTTTGGGACACCCGGTATATATATATATATATATATATATATATATATATATATATATATATATATATATATATATATATATATATATATATATATATATATATATATATATATATATATAGGTTATCATTTAAGGGATGAGGTGAGATCAGTTTTATCGCTCGAGGGATGATATCACAATTGTCAATTGTGATATAGTCCTCAGAGCAATAAAACTGATATCACCGAATCCCGAGCACAAGAACCTATTTATTATATACTTGTACCTTTATCAGGGTTTGACACCCAAAAGTAAACAGTTTTGAAAAAATAGGATCATTTTAGAATTCAAAAAAATTCATCATTTACTGAACAAATATGATTTTAGAAAATAAATAGACAATTCATATAAATAAATATACAATTTAAGTCTTTCGTTTTGTATTATCGTTCTTGTTTCCTTCGATAAAACTGTCGACATCAACCAACACGAACCTCGAGTCGGCCATCTTTGTTTTGACAAGGTGCGAAATTTAGCGGGACAAAAAACGATATCCGGGACAAAAAACGATATCCGGGACAAAAAACGATATCCGGGACAAAAAACGATATCCGGGACAAAAAACGATATCCGGGACGATATCGTTTTTATGTCCCGCTGCTTCCTACCTGATAAAGGTACAAGTATGTGATAAATATATATATATATATATATATATATATATATATATATATATATATATATATATATATATATATATATATATATATATATATATATATATATATATATATATATATATATATATATATATATATACACACACATACATACATATATATATATTATATATATATATATATATATATATATATATATATATATATATATATATATAGGTTATCATATAAGGGATGAGGTGATATCAGTTTTATCGCTCGAGGGATGATATCACAATTGTCACGAGCGAGCGCAGCGAGCGAGGGACAATTGTGATATCGTCCCGAGAGCGATAAAACTGATATCACCGAATCCCGAGTACGATAACCTATTTATTATATACTTGTACCTTTATCAGGGTTTGACATCCCAAAGTTAACAGTTTTGAAAAAATAGGATCATTTTAGAATTCAAAACAATTCAGCATTTACTGAACAAATATGATTTTAGAAAATAAATAGACCATTCATATAAATAATATACAATTTAAGTCTTTCGTTTTGTATTATCGTTCTTGTTTTCTTCGATAAACTGTCCACATCAACAAACACGAACCTCGAGTCGGCCATCTTTGTTTTGACAAGGCGCGAAATTTAGCGGGACAAAAAACGATATCCGGGACAAAAAACGATATCCGGGACGATATCGTTTTTATGTCCCGCTGCTTCCTACCTGATAAAGGTACAAGTATGTGATAAATAAATATATATATATATATATATATATATATATATATATATATATATATATATATATATATATATATATATATATATATATATATATATATATAGCCAGTTGAACTATAGCGGTGTCATTCCGACCGGCTGCGAGTAGACTAAAATGCTAGTGTTAACGCGCCCCTATACAATATAATCCTTACTGTTTTATTAGCAATCTCGAGCGCCTTATCCGTTCTTGTATGGCCACCTTTAATATTTCTCCACTCCGTGTTATTAATATAACGTTCAAACATCTTTGCATCGTAATGTAGGTCAAACGGTATCACTAATTTGGTCTTATCATCTTCCTTTCTGTAATATCGACTATTTGGATCATCCCATTTGCTAAACAGCAATAAAGCGAGCTAAGAAAGAATCAAATTGGTATAGTCATATTAATGCCATGTTTAAAAGTTCATAATATATACAGGAAAAATTACTTGATTCTGATTGGCTAAGATTTAAATTTTTATTTCTGACACTTAAAATCTTGTGTCAAGTTGTTTGTTATTGAATTTCATTTTTTGACGTTTTGAGTTGTGACGAGTACACACAGCACTGTTTTGCTAGTTTTATGGGCTGTTTTAAAAGAAACGGCCACCAAAATGTTTCAAATGATAAATTTTAGCTACCTAACTAGCCAACTTTTTGAAGCATTTCAGCTTTTTTCAAATTTTGACTGCAATCCTTACCTGAGCTCCGTTTCGTCCAATATTCAAGGTCTTGTCGGAAACAAAATCCCGTAGAAAAGGTTTCACTTCGTTATTAAAGTCGTCTTTCCCAATGGAGTTAGATGTGTCCAAGAGTATAAGAATGTCCTTTTTGCATTCTTCTGTGAGTAATAAAAATATTGTACATATCGTTTTCAGTTATTCTTATACTACATCGCCCATTTTACGGAGAGGGGAGGGGCGTCAACCAATTAGGGAAGTCTGCAGCATGAGGGCATGATTTCCCAAGGAATGACTTCCCGCAGAAACAATTTCAACCCAGAATATTTTGCATTTCCGTAGCCTCAGAAGATCATTTTCAATGTCACCTAGAACGAATATTTGTCAAAGTTGTAAAAAGTTATTTTGCTTTTAAAAATTCAAGATTTTGTAATTGACTTTATATACCTCCCACACTTTTGAAACACGTTTTCTTTGTATGCTATCACAAGCATGAATTAATTGGTTTTATTCCTATTGGTATATACACCATATCAATGAAACCACAAACTATCCGGGATAATTGCACTGTAATTGGCTGTCCAATAACAATTTTAGCCAGACTATATGTCATTGACTGTAGCTCGGTTCCTTTCGTAGAATTAAAAAGTGTTAATTAATTAAATAGTCTTATAAAACTGCCATTGGTAGAGAACACATTCTACAAAAATGAATATTTCTATTCTGTGTGCGAATTCAAAATATTTGCTATGATTTATGCCATATGTGAATGCTATGGTAAAAACTACTACGCCATATTGAATAAGCAGTTCTATAATTTATTTTAAAAAATGGGCGCCATAGTGTGTCCAGTTGAAACTGTAAAACAGGCCCGCCCAGGAGTTTTACATATATTGGTATCTAGACCGACCATTCGATGTTTGACAGTATTTTGTTGTTAAAATAAGTTGCAATAGACAGGTGTACCTCAGTGGCGTAGCTAGCGTCTAAACTTTGGAGGGGTCCAAATTTTTATAGCATTCCGAATGCGCTGGGAATCTAGGGGTTCAGGGGCATATGCCCCATCCCCGGAAAATTTTGAATTTCTAGATTCGTTACTACGCTATTTCACGTATTCTAGGACGAGGTTTAAGAAAACAGTACAACCACAAAAAGCCATTTTTAAGTCGCCAAATGTTGTTAGGTCGAAAAAATATTTTTGTAAAACGTTGTGCTGTACACGCAAATATAACAGAAAAATAGCACGATGTCTTCGTTTCTTGTAACAAAAAGAATGAAGCTCACTTGACCACCATATCAGAACTTTTGAAGTCGGTCATAATTGCTGATATGCGCGTAAATTCAATTTCAAATGTGCTTTCAGCTACCATAGGCATTTTTACTGGAGTTAGGATTCTAGAGATAGGGAAGGCAACAACTATTACTGGTAAACAAGTGTGGGTAGTAGCTACAATTTTCAAGTAGCCAGTAGTTTTTGACTACTTTTTTAAAACAGTAGCTGTAGTTATAGCGAACTACATTTTTCCTAAAAGTAGCCAAGTAGTTGACTACTTTTCAAACAGCGAATCGCTATTCGCTACTTTTTAAAATTGTTAGAAAATTGATAGAATAGTATGATATTGAGACACGGTTTGCTTAAAATCAATACTCAATAGTCAATTTGCACTCTTGAACACTGTAGTGCTTACAAAAATGTATCTTTGTGTTTACTATTGCTACTCGTAGGTCGATTTGTTATAGGTTACATTTCAGCCTGAGTTAGTAGATGCTCCAAATACAGTAAAACTAAAAAAATATAGCGTAGCGAAATAGCGAAATAGTCGCTACATTTTTAAAGCAGTAGCTGTATAGTCAGTAGCGAACTACCTTTATTCAAACGTAGCACTAGTTGTAGCTGACTGTACATATTTTTGAAGTAGCTGTAGTTATAGCGAACTACAAAATTTTGTAGTCAACCCACCCTTGCTGGTAAACAGAAGAGATGGATGTTTATCCATGATATTTACTATAATTTAGTAACTTGTTGTTCTACTGCTTAGCTTAATTTTCTACACGGCCTTATGAAAAGCAACCATTTTAATTATTTGAAACTTTATCAGAAAACTCTATATATTTTTAGTGGAAATAGATTGATAAGCTACCGTGCATAAAGAATTTTAAATAATAATAACAAATAATAATAATAATGGATATCATCGTACGCCCCCAATTTCTGCCCGGATTTCAACTTTTCACAAGGACATTCCCTCTGCCCCATTGGTACGATAAAGTCGATAAAAGCAACACTATTCTCACACGCAGATCAAGTGAAATTAAAGTCGTGCATGACTCTGAGACAACTGCGCGCATGATGCATAAATTGAAAACCACAATCACAAATGTGAACGATGCATGCGCTAACCACTGTGGTAAAAGCACTGACCTTGATTCCCATTAGATGTTGAAGTTGATGGTCTGCCAACGTTTGAAATTGGATCGTCGTCCTCGAGAAGATGTAGTGAATCTGCACAGAAGATATTTATAGGAACATGAGATACAGGCTACATGATACAATCAGAGCAGGGATTTTTGAATAAAAAGTTAGAGATAGACATATAGGGATGTTGTGAAGCATCTGAAGCAATAGTGTAGTAATAAAAATTTCAACAAGGCGGCTCTAGCTTCAAGGGAGGCCTTAGAGCATGAACTCCACAAATGTTTTATTCAAGGTCTCTGAAACAGGATTCCCAGTATTTTAAGTGATGTTCTAAAATGTATAGTGTTAGGCCAACAATGGAATAATGAAGACAGAAAAGTGCAATCTCTAAATTAATATTTCTAGTCTGATGTTCAAAAATTGAATAGAAATAAATCGAAAACTCGATTATACAATAATACCAAATCTTAATAAACTGGCAACAATTTGTTATATTATCATAGATTCATTTCTGTCTCGATTAAAATCTTAAGGGGGCTTAGCCCACCCCTACTCAGTCTCCCCTTAAACTGAAGGAAAATTTTAACAGGGGGCTGATAGGCCCATTTCCCTTCACTACATCCGTGATCTGGAGTTACCGGGAGTCAAAGGTTTATGTGAATTCGAATTTCAAATATTATATAAGAAATTATTTGAACTGGCTGAAATGTTTAAATTGTAAAATGATCTGTCAATATACGATTATATGAATGCAGGAATCACGTTTTGATTTGTAGGACAGGAGGATCATATTATGGATTTCACCGACCTATGGTATCGCTATCACATCCACAAATCTTTGCGACCACACCTACATAGTTTCGCATGTTTAATAGTAAATTTTAATGGTAAAATTACGTCGTCAATGGTTGTATAATCAAATCAGAAATGTAGAAGTGGCACATAGCGATACGAATTTTTCATGCTATGCCACAATTTCATGAGACCGATCCGTAATATTTTGAAACTCGAGAGTCGACTCGATTCTATTTCTTTATTTTCTGAAGATTGGCAAAAACAAAACGCAAGCGTAATGGCACAGCTATATTTGCAGACTGAACTTCACCAACCAGAGACGTAGCGACGACTTTGTCGTTGTTGTGCATGTGGGTGTCCAAATTACCTTATTTTTAAAATTAAATTTACGTTACCTAAATGTGGTTTATATGAGCACGTTCACGCAGCAAGTTTTTCTCTTGAATGAATATATTAAGACAACTGAATGCGGCGGCTGAAACAATTAGGGGGTTTGGATATTTAGACCATCAGAAAGCCCGGAAATGAAACTATAAAATTTGGCATCTTTAGCTTACGTTCTTCTTTTCCACATTAGCCTGTCAATTAATACTTTTATAATTTTCCTGAAATTAGCCCTTAAATCACCTAAAAATTAACTTGAAATTATTCATACTGACCGCTACGCCTCGCTACGGCCGCGTGCCAACAATGGTTCAGAACTGCGCATTTTGTGTAGAACTGCACTCTAAAGAACTCGGAATTGAAGAGGAGAAGCTAGTGCACTCGTTCAGTGGCTAATCGTTATTTACAGGTCAGCAGATAGTCGGAAACGTCGGACGAACTCAATACAGGGTACTTGTACTAACATTTTAGTAAAGTACCTAAGGTGTGCTCTATAACATATGCACACAATAACAAATATGAAATTTTAATCTGCATGCAAGCATGCATGCACTGTTGAGTATAGTGTTGCCTTTTGAACTGGCCTTATATAAAACAGCCACATAAAACAAACGTTTCCTTGGTCTACACTGATGATTGATTTTACTATTTCATTTACTCGTTCTACTGCCTGCCCTTTGGATTATATATTCAGCGATAGTTGCTAAAACTGGCCATGCGTAAAATGGTTTAAACTGAGATGCAAAACCTGAAAAGCTACAAGCAAAAGCAAAACTGTTAAACTACAAACTTTAAGTTAATATATAACCTTTCTAGTAACAGCTATAGACCAAGCAATTTTCAGTTCTAAAATTTTAAACTGAGAACTGCTAATACCTGGGAGGAAATGACTTTTAAGCCTGCAAGTATTCGAGGTAAAGTATATATATATTACAAATCATAATCAGTACGATATACCTTCTGACTCTATGTATTTTGCGCGAGTAACGTGTGATAACAACTGAACTCCAGATATCAGGAGCAGAATTCCAGAAAGCTTCATTATTACCCGTTAATTTTTCGATGTTTCACTCACTGAATTTGAGTTCCTCACTCAATGTCAAAAGCTAACTGCCAAAATTTGAAATGATTTATTATCTTTTAAGCAGTTCTGTGCAGAGAGCGTGCGACAATTAACGTGAACGATAGTTAATAGAATAGATGGTTTGGAAACTCATTAGAATAACAAAACAACTCATTATCTATGTTAGTCAACGTTTATTAATAAATACGGTCCTTCACCGTCACGTGTGCATTGTAGCTTTGCCAAATCCACCAATAGCAATCTCCAATTTACCCTATTGTTCGAGTCACGGATAGGTAACTTTCCTAAAACATTGCTATTGGTTAATTTGACAAAAATACAATACGCACGAGACGGTGAAGGACCAGATTTATGAATAAATTAAATTAATATGCGTGAACTGATGCGTTCAGCTAGGGAGCCCATGCACGCATGTACTGTAAGACGGCGACGTCACGAGAGCTATCAATACAATTAAATCAATGCTAAAGAATGTGGACTGAGTAAAAGTCTTGCAGGGGTTTTGACGTCGTCCAAGCTCTGTTGACAACGGCAAAATGCATATTCTCACGTACTGTATTCTGTATACGCTATAGCATTTCAAGCCGTGGCAGGTTGTTTTTTAGCAGAGTTGATCAACATTGCTCGGAAGGTTAAAGTTCTGCTTTACTCGTTCGAAACTATTTTAAATTCATACGAAAGTAAATACAGGACAAGATTTCCATACAATCATTTATTTAGTGAAACAGTTTCTTTAGCTGTCGACCTGACGGCGCCGTCTTACATGCGTAAACTCAATAATTACTGAGAGATACCACTCGCAACTGATGCATGGTCTCTCTTGCATTTAGTCTAGAAGTTTCAAATAGAAACCGTTGTATAACTTCAAATTTCAAATTATACACCAAGAACCAATTAGTTGGTTATTCAAGAATGCACTCATAACTGATGCATGATTTCTCTTGCATTCAGTCTAGAAGTTTCAAATAGAAACCGTTGTATAACTTCAAATTTCAAATTACACCAAGAACCAATTAGCATTCAAGAATGCACTCACAACTGATGCATGGTCTCTCTTGCATTCAGTCTAGAAGTTTAAAATAGAATTTATAGAAACCGTTGTATAACTTCAAATTTCAAATTTTACCAAGAACCAATTGGTTGGTCATTCAAGAATCCACTCACAACTGATGCATGGTCTCTCTTGCATTCAGTCTAGAAGTTTCAAATAGAAACTGTTGTATAACTTCAAATTTCAAATTATACCAAGAACCAATTAGTTAGTCATTCAAGAATGCACTCACAACTGATGCATGGTCTCTCTTGCATTCAGCCTAGAAGTTTCAAATAGGAACCGTTGTATAACTTCAAATTTCAAATTATACCAAGAACCAATAAGTTGGTCATTCAAGAATGGACTCACAACTGATGCATGGTCTCTCTTGCATCCAGCCTAGAAGTTTCAAATAGGAACCGTTGTATAACTTCAAATTTCAAATTATACCAAGAACCAATTAGTTCGTCATTCAAGAATGCACTCACAACTGATGCATGGTCTCTCTTGCATTTATTCTAGAAGTTTCAAATAGAAACCGTTCTATAACTTCAAATTTCAAATTTTACCAAGAACCAATTGGTTGGTCATTCAAGAATCCACTCACAACTGATGCATGGTCTCTCTTGCATTCAGTCTAGAAGTTTCATGTATGGAAACCGTTGTATAACTTCAAATTTTACCAAGAACAATTGGTTGGTCATTAAGTTTGACTTGTTTAATTAATTATTAATTAATTATTAAGCAAGATGAAAGAACTAATCTAATACGGGGACGTGGATAGATTAAACAGTCTTAAATTTTACAATTGAAAGACAGTTATATAAGCCACCGATATATTAACTAGGGACGACGACGGCAACTAGTATAATTAATGACAGTCATGACGTTGTAAGAAAAAAAGATGAATTAAAATCTGATTGAAATGTCGTCCTTTTTCTCTCTACAACGGCTTTTTCTCTCTACATGACGTCTTGTATAAAGCGGCTACATTTCAAGAGGAGGAACAGTTATTTCAAATTTGGATCCTGGAACTTTTTTCGACCATTCGTAGATTTAACTTGCCCTGACGTCGTAGATTTAACCATTCGTATATTTAACTTGTCCCCTCGTTCTGACGCCGTTAATGATAGATTTATATTAGATCTAATGAATCTTCTAACTGCTTGCTAAACCAAATGTAAGACATTTTAATTGTAATATTTTTGAAATTTGTAAATCGATGTAAAATCCTTACTAAATCTATCTGCCTTTCCCTATCCTTAAACCGTACTAATTTTATATGATGGATAATAGACGACTGACGACAGGCTTTCTGTGCAATAATCAGGTTTAGTCCAACGAGTTTGTTTGCCACTGTTGCAGTGTGAGTGTTGCCTTCCTATATGCTTAAGGACGCTCAATATCGAACTGGGGGGAAGAGGGTGAATAATTTGTTTTGTCAATGTGTATTAACTTTCAATAGTGGCTGGAATGGCCTCAGTGGGTATGTCCAAGATTGAAGCAACTAACTTATAACAACTTTTATGACTACGAAAACAGTTTTAATTGTAAACACGTTTCGGTATTATGGTATTTGAGCTGTAATGCCAGTTATATATAGGATAGGCGAAACAGTGCGTCATCTTACCATCAGAATCAAGGCACATTATATCTTCAGGGGATTAGCAGGCCCCAAAGGAGAGCGAGGGGTCAAATTATCGAATACGATAGACAACTGTGGGGTTCGGTTGTCTGGGGGAAAATGTTTCTATTTTAGGATCTGAGAAATGCTATTACATGCATTTAGACATGTTTTATGTAACCTGAGTATCAGGCCCTCGGTATTGAAGAGAGCCTGACACAATTCGCCTCTACGGGCTTTCCAGCCCCAGAATATCAGCCAATTAAAATTATTTCCGGTTGTAGCATATTTCCGGTTGTCCGCTACAGGTATGTACATACGCAAATTTCGTTATTTGCAGTTTTGTATATAAATTTGAATAAATACGGAAAAAATCGGTATGTTTTTGTCGAAATATCCACTTGATGGAATTCTAAGCGTAAACTATGCCTCATTCGGGGAACCATAGCTCGATGGCTTTTTCCAGGAGTCTAAAGAGACAACATTCGGCGCTCTGAATAGGATTTCTTCTTCCTCGGTCCTCGTGTCATGTTGATAGTTTATTCGAGACAGCTATTCGCTTCAACTGCGTCTGACACAGCGGCTATTGTCTTCAATTTCTGCCTGATGTTGGCATATTAGTTCGAGCGAGCTGACTACTATATCCTTGCAGATCTTGGAAAACAGCTCGGCAATAAACTGATAAATAAGGCTTCAGCTTTTTGGAACTAAATATTTGAAAATTTCCGACATCCACATATTTTCGTTCTACGGCGACTATTACGGCGAGATATTTAAACACGCTTTCTACTATGACTATGTAGTTTTAGTTTTATACCGAGTAAAATGTTGCTGCAAAAGCGTTTTCAACG